GCATGCCTCATAATACTTCAGAAATCACTGCAGAAATTCTGCCTAATATGTAAGAACATTAATTGATATAGCATTGTTGGAACAGAATTTCAGCAATATTAATGCAAGTTTATTATCATCACACTCTTTTCACTGTAACCCAAATTTCAGTTTTCTGTCTATTCCAAAAGAAAATATTCATATTTTCCCAAGAAATCCTGTTTGATGATGTTGATATCAACTTTATTAGTCATAGCAACAGATGAAAAACAGTTTATGTGTTCATCAGGAGAATTGTGAAATCAATTATAGCATATATACACCTTAGAATTTTATGGAGTAGTTAAAAGAGGGATATGGATCTATGTGTATGTTCATAAAAAAGATCCTTCATTTATTTAATTAATTGACAAGGTCAAGAACAGGCAGAAGAGCGTGTACATGCACACACACACACACACACACAGACACATACACACATAGGTTAAAATGCAGACTATTTTTTCTAGTACATCTCTGTAAAGGAAGGTCCAGAAGATATTTTAAAATAATGTCTATAATATTTTAGATTGTGATTACTTATGAGGAAGACAGAAATTTAGAGGAATATAGTAAGGAAAGGGAATTGTTATTTATCTGTATTGTTAGATTTTTTGCAGCAGCAGCAGCACCACCAACAGCCACAATATAGGTACTATTACTTTTGTTATTAAAAATTTTAAATAAAACATAACAAAAACAGTGTGTATATTCATATAAAGTAACTGTTAATGTATGTAATGGAAGAAGCTGAAATATGAAAGTTTTAATACAGAAAAAGTTTATTTCTTGTACACATAAATTTTGATATGACTATGCAGGGATTTCCACAGTCAGGTGATCAGGGATCCAGACTGGCTTCCACTGTGTGACTCCACATTCAGCATGGGATCTGCCTGAAAGCATAGATGTGACATACCAATTCTCAAATACCTTGGCTGGAAATGACACACATTGTTTCAGTGTAAAAGATTCAAATGAACCTTCCTAAGTACTAATGAACTTGGAATGTAGTATCCCTATATGGATAAGAAGGAAAGCAAGACAGAAAGTAGATCAGCACTTGCAAATTTTGCATAAACAGTTATATAGTAGGTGATCCGTATGATGCAACTTTTTTAAAGAAATTCTTTAAATAACTTTATTTATTTTTATTGTTTTTTTTAGTTATACATGACAGTAGAATCTATCTATCTATCTATACACACACAAACACACACACACACACACACACACATATATATATATATATATATATATATATATATATATATATAATTATGTGAGAATGGAGTATATCTTATTCTAATTAGGACCCCAGTCTTGTGGATGTACGATATGGTGGGAGAGGATTCACTGTATGATGCGAATTTTACAATTTGCATGACAGAAGCCCCCTCATTGTCAGAGAGGTTTCTGAGAGTGCCAAAGTTGGCTTGCAACTCACCAATTTTTTCTGGTGCAAGTGTTTTCATATATGATACCAATTTTCTAAATGATCCTTTATGAATATCAGCACTTGAGGTTTACATTCTTTAGTCAGTAAAACTTTTCATACTTACCTTTTCAATCATCTTAATACATGGAATTTTCTTCTTCTTTTCATTAAATGACCAAAATCATAACTAGTGAGTGTCTGCTACCCACTCTTGATGAATATGCCTGAACATTTATTTATACAGTTGTCTATACATATATTGGAAAAACAGGATTTGCCCCTGGAGTAGATACAAACAAGTCATCTGAAACATGGGAATTATTTTTACATTTTTTCATAAAGGCTAGCATGCTAGGAGCATTTTCAACATTGGTGGTAGACTAAATAATTGCTAGAAAATGATGTCCATGTACTTATCTTTGAGACCTGAAAATATGTTATGCTACATGGTCAAAGGCACTTTGCAGGTTTATTAAGGATCTAAAACCAATAATAAAATAGGGAAATTATACTGGATTACTGGGGTGGGCTAAATATAATGACATGAGGCTTATAAGTAGAGATCTTTCTGTGGTTGGAGGCAGAAAAGATATGCAGCAGAGGGGGAAGGTCAGAAGACTCCAAGTGTGAGAAATATTGAAATTGCAATTGCTGATTCAAGATGAGTGGGCCCATGCACAAGAAATGGGATGATGTCTTGAGGAATTCTGGTTGGGCCAGCTGAATGCAGCCAAGAAACAGAAATTTAGTCTTATATCTGCAAGAGGACAAAAACCTCCAATAACCTGAGTCAGTTTAGGAGGTTCTTCCCAAAGCCTAGTAATGAGTACAGGCTCTCATAGCTTTGTATAGGCCTGTGACAAGCCACAGCAAGAATATAGTAGAGACATCCTGTATTTTTAATTCACAAATGTAAGATCAGAAGTATGTTTTGTTGTAAAATGTGGATTTGCAGAAATGTGTTATTGCAGCCATAGAAATCAACTACATTCTCCTTGAGGTACTACAAGATTTGTTAGAACCCAACCTCTGTAGATGGTTGGTTGCTGCATAATGACTTCCTTGATCCTTTCTCATTTGCTGATTATAAGAGAAGTTTATGTTCTTGACCACTTAAGTGTACTCAGTGATGAATGGATTTAAAAGCTAGTCTCAAATAAGTCTCCAGATTAACTTCTTCTTTCTAACTAATGTTATTTGCCTTCTAAAGTCTCTGACTTCATAGTTAACATCCCAAGAATCAGTTGACTCTATGTTAAACTTGGCTCTACTCACAGACAATTTTGGGGAAAAAAAATCCTTTGAGAGTGGGGTAGAAACATCCAGAACAAAAAACAGATGCTTAAATTTCACTGCTAAAGTAAATAATTGTGTGAAAGGGGCTCTTGTTTTTGGAGGGATTCCACTATAAGTGAAAAACAGGGGACATTTGTAGGGAATCAGGATGCTCTAAGTGAGGGGCAAGCTTTCTTTTGACATAGTGCAGATACATCCATGGAAAGAAGTAGGGCAGAACTTGGTGTCAGGTCACGATGCATATTTGGCCATGAGGACCCACGTCGCTGACTCAGGGGAAGAGCAATGTAATTCTTTTTCTAGGCCTGGTCCCATGTGCCATGCCTGGACAGAGTCAACTCTACAAGAGGACTGGAGGGACAGGTGAATGCTAGGCTCTCTTCAAATGACGTTTAATTCTCATTTTCTCTTTTATTTATTACAACTGTGTTCAGTTCATTGCTCCCTCAGGTCTTCTTTTAATTTCCTAGGAGATATTGTGGAGTACTAAGAAATGAATTAAGAGGCTTAAGGTTGGCCTAGGCAAGGAGGAGTGAGAACAATATGAATTCTAGATGAGTTCCATGAGCCTGATTCTTTGTCTTCTAAGTGGGCTTGATAGTCTGCTGCTCCCTTTCTCATTGTTTTCTTTGTGAATGAGGAATATTGAAATGTATTTATGAAAGGAAACTGGTACAGTGCCTGGTCCTAATGTGAAGACTGCCATGCCAGCACAGTGGCTTCTAAGCATTCCATCTCATATGAATATTACCATTTTTTTCCTCAGACACTCCATTGTGCTGATGTGCACAAATCATCGTTTATACACTTACATGGAGACCACCAGACTATGGGACATCTTACACTCCTTCCCCAGGCATAGATTTATCTCTCGTTTATTCATGATTTAAAAGTGTCTTGTAAAAACAGTTTTCCATTCTAGACTTTAGGCTCTCGACACTGGAACACACCATCTGAGGTTTGGGCCCCTGCCCACTACTTCCACAGGCTAATCTGTCCCACCACTCTGTTTAAGTTAAAATTATTCACACTGAAAGGCTTGCAATTCCTCAAGGTACCAAATCCTTGCCATATGGCATGTATGTTGAAAACCCCACCTTCTTTTGATTTTTGCCCTTTTGGTTAGAAGATTCTCATAGCTATGGACAAAATGTTTGTCCCCTCCCCCCAAAAAAATCATACATTGAATTTTATATCCCCAATGTGATGGTATCTGGAAGTGGGGTCTTTAGGAGGTAATTAGGTTATGAGGGGGAACCCTCATAACTGCGATAGTGCTCTTGTGATAAAGACCCCAGAGAGATCCCTCACCCTTCTATGTGAGGAAACTTTTTAATGTTTTAATGTGGTCTATGCATCAAACACTGTATCTGTAAGTATTTTTATTTTGGATTCTGCAGCCTTCAAAATTGTGAGAAATAAATTTCTGTTAATGGAATAAGGACACCAGAGTTCTCTTTCTCCACTATGTGAGGATACAATAAGTAAACTGTGAAACAGAAAGAGAACTTTCACCAAGAATCTGACCTGCAATATGATCTCAGACTTCCAGCCTCTGGAACTCTGAGAAATAAATGGTTGTTGTTCAAGCAATCTGAAGTGAGACATTCACCATCTTCATTTAATCATGGCTGCTCCAAGTCTTTAAATTTATAAGTACAGGGATGATTCATCTTCATCTTAGCATTTCAGGTATGAAAACAAGCCTCCCAAAGTGTAAATTCTCAATTATTTCTTGAGAAATAAAAATATAAGCCCCTAAGAAAGAGTTCTAATGTATTATTATTTTACATTCTTCAATAAAGTAAACATAATCTGGTACAAAACAACAATTACAGTGATAAGTGAGACCATTTATGATCTTTTATTTTTTTCTCTATTTCTTGACATCAACTTTTACAATTCTGAGTTTTTTTACATTCTTAGGAAATGCCTAATTTACTGCCATGCTGTCATATCCTAAATGAATAAATATGATGGAAATTTTCCTAATTTGTTTTACAAAAGAAAAAACCCTCTTACTCAATTCCAGTCACAGCAATAAATGTTTGAGCAATGTCATTCATAAGTTTATATATGAAGTACTTTAATCTTCTGATGACAAGAATAATATTTTTGAAAATTTGTTGAGTAACACAGAACGGGAAAATAACATTTTTACACATTGTATTGTCTCCAAACCCACCCTTGACCTTCCACTATGTAGATTGTGGACTTTTTGACAACAACGTGGTAAATGACTGAGAATTTACTTGGGGCGGGAGGAATAACTGGACAGGGCCCTGGATCGTGCAATAACTATGGCACTTATGTGAGCCCTTGCTGCAGCTCTGGCTTGGGCTCTTGCTTCCTCATCTCTCAATGCTTCCTCATACCAGGTTTGGTAGGCACTTGGGATGGTATCATGGACTTTGGCTAAAAACTCTAGGACTTTCATCTTACTGGTTTCTGCATAGGCTCTTGGGCCCCACAGGAATTCATAGCGCGGAGGATCACTGTTGGGCACCTGCTGATATTCCAGGTACTTTTTTTTCACTAAATCTTTGGTGATAAGCTTCCTGGGCTCGCCAAAAATAAAGTGCTCTCTACCACTGTATAAGCCCATTGCATTTAAGATTTGCCAGACTTGCTCCTCAGTGGCACGGTTTCCCTTTGTGAAGATCACACCCAGGATAGTCATCAGAAGACCAGTCTTGGGCACACCTCCATCGTCACCCAGCCTTGCATCATAGCTTAGTTCCAGTTTATTGATGAGGATATATATATGCTTATTGGAATCCATTTCCTTGATGTCTAGGCCAAAGACCAGTTCCAGGTGCTCAGAAGCTTTCCTCAGGATCTCAAGGAAGTGGCTCTTGTGCATTTGGATTATGTTTCTCAGCATTTCTGCCTTTGTAATGGGCTCCTTCATTTGATACTTGTACAGCAGGTAATACACCAATATAACTACCTTCTCATCCAGACGGCCAGGTGCCCAGTGGCAAGCTGGGCTTGAGAAGAGCTTGGCCTTTCCTCCACTTGGTTGTTCCCACTTCCATTAGATCTTCTGTATGAAACAACAGCAGAAGTAGTGGTGGTGGGTGCAGCTCTCCAAGACCCTTGAGGATTGCTAGTTGTTCTAGCAGCAGCTGAACTCCGAGGATTACTCTTGGAACGAGAGGAGGAAGAGGAGTGAAACTCTCCACCTGCTCTTGCAGTGGCCTGAGCACCCACCAGATCTAATGGCTGTTCTTGGGTCTGGGCCTGATGGCGTTTCTCACGAGCATGGAGCTTACTCTTCTGACCTCGAGGCATTATGGTTTTAGACCGGGCAGTAGGGAGAGAGACAGGTATTCTGCAAACAACAAAAGAGAGTGAAACTGTTGGGCCACTTCAACTAGGAGACAACTCCTTGGCTTTACTGAAGGCTACCTCTGCAGTTTTCCTTGAAATCACTGTTCTAGAAACTCACAATGTGCCTATTCTGTGACCTGTCTGTCCCCTTAGGACTCTGTGGAAATAATTAAGGTATGCTTTTGGTTGTTAGATGCCAGATCTACCTGGAGCTTACTGGAGCTTAAGGCAATGGCATTGTTCTGGGTTGTGGGTCTTCCTTAGTTCACATTAAGGGTTATCAACTGAATCCTAGCAGCACCTGGGGTCCCTATGATCTATTTTTTGATGATGACCCCTCATTTTACAACCCTAATATCTGTGAGATTCCAGAGGATGAACTGAGGGGAACCTCACCTCACCACACCTACCTGGAGACACAAAGGGATGAAATCACAGGCTTCATGGGAATCTGTACTGGGGTAATTAATGTTCCTAGTCATCACACAGTGTTTCACCTTCACTTTTGCTAGGAACTGTGACTCCTCCCTCTTCTGACTTTAGATCTATTGCCCCTGAGCAAGGGTCTCAGTCCCTGAAAACTCCAAAAAGACAGGGAAGCCATAGCATAACACATCTGCTTTTGGTTCATTTAGGTCTGAAGGTACAGATAGTACTCTTTGTGACCCTTGCAATTCTGAGATTGGTAGTCCCCTCAGTCTACACACCTGCATTGGAACCTCAGGAAAGTAAAGGGATTGGTCTTAGAGAGGTGGTGTCAAATCAGCTGGTGTCAAATGGTGAGAGAAGAGTTCCAGATCCTGCCTAAACTTAAGGTAAAGACCCTGAGTTAACAAGAAAATCTACACACAGGATCTCACATTGACTTCCAGAAGAGCCTGGGACTTCTCCCTAATAAGATGGGGCTGGCCCTCTCAGTCAAATGACCTTATTTCCTTGGCTTCTGAAGTGCAATGTAAGGGAATTCCTCTCCTGACAGCTTTGCCCCAAAGCCTCCCTGGACTAACAGCAGGTGTGGCTTTGTGTGGTACCCTTTATTTGTGGATCCCTGAGACCTCACTCGGTCACCTCACTCTAACCCCTAGCAGAGCTGAGGGATCATCCCTATGTTGACAATACCATCTTGCTCCCATTCTAAGGCATTCACTTCCCTGAGACCCCAAAGGCATTACTCAGGGTTCCTTACATCAATCCACCCTCATATGTAGCCTCTCTGGACCGGAAGTATGAATGTGGGTCTGTGATTTTATGGACATTTTGGGGTAACTGCATCAAATCTCTCCCATTAGAACCTGAGAACCCTTCCTCTGCTGGTCTGAAGTCAACACCCTGGCCCTCTCAAAATCCTCTGAGGGAATTTGGTAATGACTCTGAGATCATCTGTATGTCTGATGACTCCAATCTAATTTCTATCAAAACTGACCTCAGGCGGGGTAACTCTGGGAGCCCCACCAGTCAGAGGTGGGCAGTCCTATCACACCCAACTTATTATTTACCTTAATTCTAGGCAAGGACTAGGGCTCTTCCCTCAACTGACCTGGTGCTGTGCCACCTCACACAGACGCTATCATCTCCCTCAAACGCCAGAGGCGGAAGTTGGTATGCGTCACATCCTCCCATGCCCCCCTCCCCCAGACAGCCAGAGCAGGAGGCAGGGCTCTGTGATGTTCCTTCAGTTCACAGTGGTTGATTACCTCAGACTTCATTCAAGTTCTCCATCTTTTCTTTGATTAAAGTCTGGGAACCCTTCCTCTATTGGTTTGAAGAAAACACCCTAGTCTAATATCCTTACCCGCCTTAGTCCCTTTTGAAGGAATTTAGAAACTACTAAGAGATCATTAAGTTCTATGATTCTGGTCTAGATCCTACTAGGGCTGAGAGCAGAATCAGAACTCTCGCCTTCCAGTCAAGTGGGGGATATCCACACACCTAAATCAGGGTACTTACCTTAATTTCAAGAAGGATCTGGAACTCTTCCCTCAGCTGACTTAACACCACCCCTCTCAGACAAAATCCTTCACTTCCCTGAGGTCCCAAGGCCAGTATCAGGGTGCATCACCTCCTGAAAAATTTGTGTGGGTTCTCCCAGGATTTACACATGAATGGGCTCTGTGGATTTGACACTGATCTGAGATGGGGGTTTCCTTAGAACTCATATAAGTTTGTTTATTTGTTTATACTTATTTTTAAAATTTACACTACGATGGAACTCTTCTTTCTGATTACCTGGGTTAGCCTTAAATGAAAGGCATCCTCATGTTACCCTTCAATTTTCAGAAGAAATAGTAAAGGAACATCTGAGCCCCCTCCACCAGGAGGGGCAGAGCTGATAGCTGGGGTGGGTCACTGTGCCTCTTTGTCTGTCTTGCATGTGTGGTTTCTTCAGAAATCACACAGTCCTAACATTCCGTTAGCATCTTGGACCTCACTCTTAACAGACTTTGGGAAAATACTCAGGACCAATGCCCTTAATTTCCTGAGTCCCCAGAGGGGCAGTTCAAGGAAATCCCAGCTCAGGGTTGACCAGAACTGAGAGCAGAGCAGGATTATGTGAGGAATCACTCTCTTCTGCTGGGAGGATCTTCTCAAATTCAGCCATGTGTAAACCATGGGAGAGCCTATATAAGGATTGCAGAAATTGATGTACCCTGATACCCATCTGCGTTCATACCTCAGGGAAGTAAAGGGCTTGGTCTTAGAGAGGTGGTGTCAAATCAGCTGAGAAAAGAGTTTCAGATCCTGCCTAAAATTAAGGTAAAGACCCTTAACTAACAAGAAAGTTGTCTGAAGTTTCTCAATCTTCTCTCCTCTGACACTTTATTTCCTAATGTTAAACCCTGGTTATACACCCATGACTGCCAGCTGCCCTAGGCTGTATGAACATGGTTTAGCTTGTGATCTCTGGCATGAGTGTTTGCAATTATTCTGCTGTCTGTTTTGCTTGAAATAACCTCATGAACTAAGGTTTTCGTCTGTTGGCCCATTCTGATACCTGATCATTTTGTCCAAATTACTCCCCAAAGTAAAGAGAAATATCTTGGACATATCAGAATTAAAATTCTGTTTTGACATATCAGAATTAAAAGCACGTTCTCAGAAGAATCCTAGTGCTCAAGTCATCACTGCAGATATCCTGCTTTATAGATTAGGGATTAGTTTCATTTTGTGTTAAAACTACTGAGAAAACAGACAATTGAAATAATAGACAATAACAGACAATAATTTTGCCAAAATTTTTCCCCAAATTTAAATTAATCAAATAAAATATTTGTGAGAATATGCAACCCTTTTTTGGGAAGGAATTTTAATAATCCAAAAATTTCAAGTCATCACACTTTCAACTTGAACCTAATTTAAACTTTTAAAAGCATCTTTAAAATAATGAAATAACAATATTTGTCCAAAAATTTATGTTCAGTGATATATATTTCAATCAAAGTAGCAAATGTGAAACAACTTACACATCTATCAAGAAATGAGTGGTTAATTATTGCATATACAAAGTGATTTTAAACGTGAGGGGGACGGGGTTGTGGCTCAGCAGTAGAGCACTTGCCTAGCATGTGCAAGGCTCTGGGTTCAATCCTCAGCACCACATAAATAAAATAAAGGTATTGTGTCCAATTACAACTAAAAAAAATTAATAAAAAATGAGGTAAATCTGTATGGACAGTTTCTTCATTCATTTATTTCAGTGTCAAGGGTAGGGGAAGAACATGTTTTGACACATATGTAACCAATACAATCAATATAAATACAAAAAGCATTTTCATAACTTTTTAAAATTTGAAATCATACAGATTTTGTTTCCTGCATGATTGATTACATTAGAAATCAATCACTTTAAGATACATGGAACCCCACTCCCACATGTCAACTACTTCAAAATTAAATGGCACACTTATAAATATCTCACGGGTCAAGGAAGAAAGCACAAGAAAAGTAAATAAAAGGTGCTTTGAACTAAGTGATAATAAAATCTTAAAATATCAGAATCTCTGGGATGAAACAGTACTCAGATGAACATTTGTAACTTAAAATACTTGTATCATAAAGAAGTTAGATTAACAATCAAATTATTTTCAAATAAGATAGTAGGAAGAAAAAAAAATAAGAGTAGGAGCAGAAATATATGAAATAGAGAAGAAAGAATACAGCTGAAAGTTGATAAAAATCAAACAAATCTAATCAAGAAAAAAGCAAGAACACAAAAATTAATATTAATGGAAAAGGAGCTATCATAACTCTACAGATGCTAAAAATATATTAAGGTAATGTTACAATTTAATGCCAATATATGTGATAGCTTACATAACATTGTCTATATTAGAGAAGGATCCATGTGCTGCTGAGAAGAAAGTGTATTCAGTTGTTGATGGATGAAATATTCTACATATGTCTGTGAAGTCTAAATTTTCAATTGTATTTTTTAGTTCTATAGCTTCTTTATTTTGTTTTTGTTCAGAGGATATACCCAGTGGTGACAGAGGCAGGTTAAAGTTACCCAGTATAATTGTGTTGTGGTCTACTTGATTCTTGAAACTGAGAAGGCTTTGTTTGATGTATATAGATGCTCCATTGTTTGGTGCATAAATATTTCCTATTGTAATGTTTTGTTGATGTACAGTTCCCTTAAGCAGTATGACATGTCCTTCTTTCTCTTCTGATTAACTTTGGCTTGAAGTCCACTTTATCTGATATGAGGATAGAAACCCTGCTTGTTTATGAGATCCATGAGAATGATATGTTTTTCCCCCTCCTTTTGCCTTCAGTTTGTAGGTGTCTTTGCCTATGAGGTGAGTCTTTTAAACACAGCATATTGTTGGGTCTTGTTTTTAAATCCAATCTGATGGTATATGTCTTTTGATTGATGTGTTTAGGCCATTTATAGTCAATGTTATTATTTTTTTAAAGAGAGAAAAAGAATTTTTTAATATTTATTTTTTAGGGTTTTTTTTGGT